TGCCAACACCTCAAAATGGTACAGGACTTTTTGATTCAGTATAGGCTGTTCTACCCACGTATGACAAAAAATGCGGTAGTCGCCAAATACCCTGTATATATGGGGCATTCTTTGTCATCGGGAGACCCCTATGCCCCCAAAATTGGGTTTGACGTAGAGGGTTCCACGACGGCTTAAAATTTAGGTATTTATGTCTATTTTTAAATGCAAAGTGGCAAACTTCAAAATTCAAAATGGCGGATCCAATATGGCGGACAATGTACTCAAAATTACATACATTCATTCTCAATTTGATTAAAACTTGTTACTTGGGGGTTTTCGGGGTCGCTGAATACGAATCCAATGTCAGATTTCCAAAATTCAAAATGGCGGATCCAATATAGCGGACAAATTCAAAATTTCTCAAAAAAAAAGACCAATTCGCTGGAAACTTGTTACTCCGGGGTTAATTGGGTCGCTGAATAAAAATCTGACATCAGATTTTCAAAATTCAAAATGGCGGATCCAATATGGCTAACAATTCTTCGAAACAGTTCCTAAATCACATGAAACTTGTTTCTCGGAAGTTTTTAGGATCGCTAAACATAAATGTGTCATAAGATTTTTTAAATTCAAACAAAAGCTGTTTCAAAACATTAAATAAGGTTATTGGTTGTTGATTAGACTATATAGTCTTATCTTACCTTTGTTGGTTGGAATTTAGATTTAGTTTCCGAAAATTATTAGCCCTATTGGGTCCGCCATTTTGAATTTTGAAAATTTGATGTCATATTCGTGTTCAGCGACCCCAAAAATCCCCGAGTAACAAGTTTCAAGTGAATTTAATAAAAATTTTTAAATAATCCCCCATATTGGATCCGCCATTTTGAATTTTGGAAATCTGACATCGGATTCGTATTCAGCGACCCCGAAAATCCCCAAGTAACAAGTTTTAATCAAATTGAGAATGAATTTATGTAATTTTGAGTACATTGTCCGCCATATTGGATCCGCCATTTTGAATTTTGAAGTTTGCCTCTTTGCATTTAAAAATAGACATAAATACCTAAATTTTAAGCCATCGTGGAACCCTCTACGTCAAACCCAATTTTGGGGGCATAGGGGTCTCCCGTTGACAAAGAGTGCCCCATATATATATATGTAGGAATCTTTATTAGTACCCACAATTAGTTAAATGAAATACAGAGTCGGTAGCTGGAACCGCCGTTACCACGCAGCTTTTTAATAACAATGCCGTATCGCAAGAATAAAAATAATAATAATCATAAAGAAAAGAAACTCTATCTTAGGTCTAAGCGCAACGCCTCCGCGACCTCTATCGTTGAATAAGCGTACTACTTCCTACAT